TCTTCCAGGCTGGTCACAGACGCACTCCCTCTGAGGCTGACCGCTGGTTAGAAGAGGTGTCCAAGAGTGTCCGGGCGCAGCAGCCCCAGGCCTCAGCTGCCTCTCTGCAGCCAGTTCTCCAGCCTCCTCCACCCACTGCCATCACCCAGCCAGCGCCATCTTTCCAAGGGAATGCATTCCTCACCTCTCAGCCCGTACCAGTGGGTGTGGTCCCACCCCTGCCACCAGCCTTTGTCCCTGCCCAGTCCTATCCTGTGGCCAATGGGATGCCCTATCCAGCCCCTAATGTGCCTGTGGTGGGCATCACTCCCTCCCAGATGGTAGCCAACGTGTTTGGCACTGCAGGCCACCCTCAGGCTGCCCACTCCCATCAGTCTCCCGGCCTGGTCAAGCAGCAGACATTCCCTCAGTATGAGACAAGCAGTGCTACTGCCAGTCCCTTCTTTAAGCCTCCTGCTCAGCACCTCAACGGTTCTGCAGCTTTCAATGGTGTAGACGATGGCAGGTTAGCCTCGGGAGATAAGCACACAGAGGTTCCTGCAGGGGCCTGCCCGGTGGATCCCTTCGAAGCCCAGTGGGCTGCATTAGAAAGCAAGTCCAAGCAGCGTACTAACCCCTCTCCCACCAACCCTTTCTCCAGTGACTTACAGAAAACGTTTGAAATTGAACTTTAAGTAGTCTCTATGGCTTATGTATTTTGCCCATACTTAGGCAAGGGCAGGGGCAGAGGTCAAAGAAGCAAAGGGAACTTTGTGTTCCCAGTCAGTATACTTTTCACTAATCCCAAAGGTCTTAAGGAGCATGTCCAGGCACAGAGTGCTAGGAGAGGTGATTTTGAAAAAAATGGAAGAAACATTCCTAGAGAAGAGTTGTCTTGCAGTTGGGCTAAAGAAGTCAAGGAAATGTTGCCCTCTGTCCCCCTCCTACTCCCTCAGCCCCTTAAAAATCTCTGGCAGCAGAGAGGCAGAGTATCTGAATAGGAATCTGTATTCAAAGCACATTTACTGGAATATAAAACACAACGGGAAGCAAAACAATCACCCTTCATTTTTCAGGCCATTCACCTGCCGCCTCTCACTGGCCTGTCTTAGAGATCAAGAACATGGTGGCCTGTGCTTGGGCTGGGGACGAGAGGCAGGCCGTGCTGCCAGAATTCCCAGGAGGGCACAGCAGCTGCCCAACAGAGCTATATTTTAGGGGTAAAGTTGAGCTTCCACTTTGAGTAAGAATAAATATTATAAATATATATCAAAAAAGCCAAAATCTTTATTTTTATGCATTTAGAATATTTTAAATAGTTCTCAATATTAAAAAGTTGTATGAGTTGTAAGTAATCTTGCCAAAGGTAAAAGGGTTAGCTGTAAGAAATTGTACATAAGATTGATTTATCAGTGATGCCTATTGATGTGGAGAGAGGAGAGGTTGAGAGTTGCAGATGGGATCCCTATTACTTGGTATCATTCGTTGTAAGTAGCACCTTGCAGCAACAATCATGCGTATGACCAATACAGTCCCTAGGTGGTAGTTTTAACAAAAATGAAAGAGCAGTATTGTCCTGGTTTTAAACCTATGATGAAATCCTAATGTAATTTTAATGGAATCAGTCTGAATACATTCTACAGAGAATACGTATTTTCTTTTATATACTGCTGCAGTTTCCTTATGTTAATCCTCTACTTTTAACACTAAGGTGACAATGACTTAATCATATCCATGGACGGGAGCACAGGTTACTGTGTTGATTTGTCATGTGGGTCTCGGGTTTTGTTTTGTCCTTTAGATTTTGTCCCCACCAGCTTTGTGGGGATGGAGATTCTGGTTTAATAGCTGTGTGTGAGCCGGTCCCCCCACTTGTGGTGAGAGCATCCCGTTGCCAGTTGTAGCCACTTGACCTCTGGTAACGACGTGAGATCCCATCTCATTTTTACTTTTGAACGTTGGCCTTACAATCAAATGTAAGTTATATATATTTGTACTGATGAGAATTTATAATCTGCTTTAACAAAAATAAATGTTCGTGGTAGAAGCTTTTGCCCCTGAAGGGCTGGTCTTTCCCCTTTTCTTTATTAGTAAATGTGTTTTAGTTCTTTTTGGTCTGTTCTTGCTCCATTCTGCTGAATTCCAGTTTGATGTCTAGAAAATCTTTTATTGGGACGTTTTTTTTATTGAAGTATAATTTGCATACAATGTTAACTTCAGGTGTACAACATATTGATCTGATAATTGTATACATTACACAGTGCTCACAATAAGTGTGGTCACCATCTGTCACCACACATGTTATTACAGTATTGTTGACTACATTCTCTCTGCTATACCTTTCATCTCTGTGACTTACAACCAGAAGATTGTACCTCTTAGTCCCCTTTATCTATTGTGCCCATCAGGACTAGTCTACTCTTAAAATTCACTTTTGTATTTATACTTTAGGCTTTGGTTCATCCTAAGCATATCTCTGATGTCAGATCCTTACTGCTCAAAGTGTGGTCTGGAACAAGAGCATGGACTTCACCTAGGAGTGAAGACTCTCAGCCCCACCC